GTCGTTCCAAGCGACCCGAAAACGGGGGGACGGAGGGCAAAGTCGGCCCAGGACGATCTTCAGGCGCAGCATTCTCTAGTCCTGGAGCTGGCTCCAGGGAAGGGCGGAAGCCGAGGGTCGCTGGCCATCCGGGAGCCCCAGATCCACGGGACTTGGATCAGCCACCCCACCCTACGGCGACTGAGGACTGGGCGGCCGAACTTGCCGTCCACTTAGCTAATGCCGGGTAATGCCGGCCCCGGCCCAAGAGCAGCAGCTGCACTTGGGAAGGAAAACTCTTTAAACAAATCATTTTGGTGTCTAATCAATTAGTGTTTGCGCAGTCAAGTACCGCAGATTTAACAGAATAATCGTTACTGCCCTTGTCTTTATTTGACCCGCAGACACCTGGAAGATTTAAAAATGAAACGCCGGTGTTCCGGGATCCCAACCCCTTGCCTTAGACTCCCTCCGGGGCCTGCTAGGCCGGGTCGGGGCTCTTGCTTTCTCCAGGCCTAACCTCCTCTTTGCCTCCCTCTTCAGTCCTCCTTCCCCTTCATACTTTTCCACACTTTACCTTGTTTTCTTGCCCTTCCGGCCCTGTCGGCCTTCCGAGTCTCGGTCTCCTCATCCCCCAGTTCTTTACCCCCGTGGCTGGCACGAGAACCGGCTTCTGATTGTCGGACACCCAGGACTCTGGGCGAGCGCCTCTGCCTTTTGGACTAAGAGCCATCTGGGCGTAGAATTAGGGAGTCGCCAAGCGCCCAGTTGTCTTTTCCCTGGACCCTCACTCTCCTACCCCTTCCTGAACTAGCCCAAGACCCGAGGGGATCCTATGCGAGCTCTTCAGCTTCTGTGGAGCTTGGAAAATACCTTTACCTGCGGGGGTCTGCCTGAGTCTCTCCCGGTAAATGCAGTGACCCAGGGTGCAGGACGGGGGTTGAGAGGAAAAGCTGAGAGTATAGCCTTGGTCCCTAAAACCCGTTTGTGGGGCTCGGGGGAATTGGGTCTAAGGGCGGGAGGGAGGACGTTGTGGGGGAGAATTCGTGGGGGGCTTCCCAGCTGACTGTTTTGTAGTGACTGCACTCGCTGATGCATGCTTCTCTGGGCCAGGTTAGCTTCCAAGGTCCAGGGGTTGCAGCTAGGAGGTTCTCCAGGTGCTTCTGAATAGCTGCTCCTGCGCCTCCCTCCTCACCCGGTGTCTTTTTCAGGCCTAACAGGTGTGGACGCCTGTGTATGTATAGACAGTCTGGTTGTGCGCCATGCCTGGTCCTCAGGCCACCACGACTGGGCTGCAGGAGCCCCCCAGCCCTGAATCGAGGCTCCACAGGGTTGGAAGGATGCTTACCAGGGCCAAGAGACCTGGAGGTGGGACTGTGGAAGTTTGGGCCACCCGAGTGGCCAAGAACATCTCCACTCCTTAATTCTGGTAATCATTTAGCTCAGCAGGGAGGACAAGGTTGGAGGCTGATGCACTCGGGTAGTGCCTTGGTTAAATAAGAGGCTGTAATTCTAAAAGGGGGCGAGGGGGAGTGTGCTGGAGGTAAAACTGCGTCTTCCTTTCCACATTTGGGGCTCTGGTTGCCCCAAATTGAGCCTGGGATGTTTATGCGCCCCCAGAACTGCCTCACAGTCCCTGGTCTCCATCACCCACCTGAGAAACTTCGCTCTCAACAATAGATGATTATAATGTATTTGACTAATGCCTGTATTTTCCTGTTTAACATACATTAATCTGAGTAACAAAAAAAATCAATATTGCTAACAACATTGCAAACAAATCCTCACACAAAAACCTCCTCCGATTTTCAGTCACTCCTACCCCCTCGAATTTTGTTATTCACCTTTAGTCTACTGGCAGCCCCTGGCTAGTCTGGAATCCAATCCTGGCTGGCTGTCAACAGCCCTTCTCTAAAACTCCCGATTTTTTTTTTCTTTTTCTTTCTTTCATTTTATTTTTTTCAGCCATGAGTGGAATCTGGGACATTCAAAATGCCATCCTCCTTTCTCTTGGGCCATTTGAAGACCTCGAGTTTACCCCAAACTTCGTCCCTTCCAGCACCAGCGAATGCCCAAAGTCACTGGCCAATGACTTATGCTTTTGTTTTCCTTCCCTAACAATCTCCACTGTGTGACAGCCACCAGCACCTCCCTAGGGCAGGAGACCCCACACTCTGCTCTCACGTAGCTGCCACCTGCAGCTAATCTCAGCTGGCAGTTATTGTTGAAAGTTTATGATTCTGATTTTGATTATTTTTAAAAATTGGTGTTTTCCACCTGGAAGGAACAGACCGGAAGGGCTGGCTAATGAAGGAACTTAGGTTTGCAAAACACTGTGAATAATTTAGTATTGTATTTCAAGGAAAAAAATATAGCTTTCTTAAATCATCCCCACAATATAAATTGCAGACTTATAGTATGGTCCTGGTAAGTCTAAATTTTTAAAGGAGCAATATTCAAAGAGACATAGATGTCTGTATTAATTATTTATTCGCTGGTGCCTTCCTTCGTTTCTAACTTATTATTAATTAGGCGCCTCTAGTCTTTCGCAGAGCGCTCCACTGAGCCGGTTGCAGCTTTAAATATGAATTAAAAGCAAATCCAAGCTACTGTAATGCGAAAATTATTCCGTGTCTTGCATGGCAGAGATGAATAGCTGCGTGGATCAATACCGTGAAACTCGGCTCCCAACGACAGGGTTATTGATAGCTTATATTAATGATGTTAATGATGGAAAAAGGAAAACAACGGCCTACCCGACTTAGAAACTTTTTAGCCGCTGAAACCCCGCAATAAAAACGGGAAGGGGGCAGGAATCGGGCTTAAGTGTAATAAGAAAATTATTTATGAAACCGGATAAATGACTTCAGAGCCTTGATGCATTTGAACCTAACGCTCTCGGCTCCTGGCGGCCCCGGCTCCAGCTGGGGAGACCGCGAAAACCCCAAGCCACGGGGAGCTGGGGGGCGGGGGGCGCTCCGCTTGCCTATGCAGCCTCCGGCTTGCCGCCCCTCTTCCTCCGTCCCCGCCGGAAGAGCCCTCTGGGGCGCTGGTCGCAGAAGCTTTGGGAAGTTGGTGGAATGGGGTAGGGACAGGGTTGGTCCCTGCTGTCCAGGCGGGGACAGAAAGCCTGGTTAGTGGTGACCAGCGGTCTAGGATTTGGGTTCGTTTTCTTCACGGGTTCTCTTGGCACCTGCTCAAATGCTGTGGCCTTGTTGGGGTCCCAGGTCGGACTCTGCACTGTGGCCTCCTGCCCATCTGGCCAAGGCTTTTGGGATCCCCCAAATGCAAACGGTGCCTGGTGCCTGAGCAGGAGAGGGAAGGCTTTATATGAAGAGAAACCGTTCTAAACACTGTAGGAAAACCGGAAAAGGCGCTCACCCTCCTCCCCCGTCCCCCGTGCCTCCGTGGGTTCTTTACCAGGCCCAGGATTTAATTGGGCCTTGGCATAAGGCTCCCAGCAAGCGCAGGACATTCCAGGCTAGCTGTTCCCGGGCTAGAGGAGAGTGAGCGCTCAGGTCTGGGCCCAGTTCTCCTGTAATTCCGCACAGGCGCCGCCCCCACTTACCCGCTGGCCCCAAATATCGACCCACTCTCCGTTTTCCCCTAGTTGAGGGCCACTGAAAGGGAGGAGGAGAAACGGAGGGGGTGGGGGAGAGAAAGGCTAAATCCGGAGGACCGCGGGAAAGGTCGACCCCGAGGGTCAATCTCAGGCCCGAGGTCCCATCCCCCACTGCTGGGGGTAGAGCCGCCAGGTCCCCTCCCCCGAGCTAGGGTCCTGGGTCCTTGGAGGCGAAGCTGGGTGAGGGAGTGGGGCGAACCCTGGCCGCGGTGGGATGGGGGCGGTGCGGCAATGCTAGGGTAGCCGGTGGTGTCCCGGCCTGGCGGTATGGTCCGGGGTGCCCTGAGTTCAGTCTTTCGGATTGGTGTGGGAAGTTGAGGGGCTTTTAATTTACGCCCGGGCTGTCATTTGTTCTGTGCCTCAGAAGGGAGGAGAGGCCGTCTGGTACTGCACGCAAAGGCCCAGGTGGTCCACCAGGGCAATTACAATTTCCTAGAAAAGACCTGGTAATTTTGTGTTTTTTTTATTAGGTCTTTTAAGATCTGTTTTTCTTCCTTCTCTCCCTCCAGTCTTCCTTTCTCTCTCTTCCTTTTCCTACCTGCTTTCCTTTCTCTCTCCTTGGTTCCCTCCCTCCATTCCTTTCTTCCTTCTCTACCACTCCTTTCTTATTTTCTTCTCTCTTTCCCCTCTCCCTCCTTTTTTCTTTCTTTTTCTCCACCCCTATCTTATTCTTTCCTTCTCCCTAGCTTTCTTCTCTCATCCCCTCCCTCCTTCTCCACAGGGGAGCCTCGTGCAGGTCTCTGCACCTCCAGACTTTCATATGAAAGGTGCCAGTCCATTTGACACAACAAACTAATCCTGTTCCTGAAAAAAAGGAGAAAGAAAGGAGAGCACCAGGTAAGCCTCAGGATGCAGAGGTGGTACCTAAGCTCCTGGGACCTTTTCCCAGTAACTGGCCTTTCCTAATGTTTCTCAGCTAGGCTTCAGTCCTTACCCCGTGCAGGGTCCTGCCCCTTTCCTGAGCCTGGTACGTTTCTGACATCCGTGGAGGATGCATTCCTCTTGCTAAGTAATATTCCCATGGTGCCATCTGGGCCCCTGACATCAGCAAGATTTGGGGGTTGTTTTTATTTTTATTTATTTGATTTTATTTTGAGAAAAACTTAAACCTGTCAATCTCAAATGCTGTAACCCCTAAAAGCACTGTCAAAGCCTTACATCTAGTCTAGGGCACCGGGGCGGCCCATTCAAATCACTGTCTCAGACAAAATCCAAACTTCCTGCCACTCAGGAAGAATCCCTTGTCAGCTATCTGGCTTCAAAGTCCACAACGTGTTTCAGATAAGCACCAGCCTGCATAGAGGCAGCCCCATTGCCACACTGTCTACAAGAAAACAGCCGTTCTTCAGAAAGGAAACACAACAGCCACTACAAAAAATCACCGGATTCTGGAAAATAATCAATATCAAAATTAGATTTATTTTCTGCTTATGTGATTAAAAATGACAAAGTGTTGCCTTTTATTTTCATAAAAAGAGAGAAAGCTGAACAAAATAATTTACTATCGAGTTCCGCTCGTTTCATTTGCCTGGCAAAACCTGGAGGAGGCCTGTAGGGTGGTTGTGGAGAGCAGTGGCAGAGCCAGAAGCCCACTGCCCAGGAGTGAGCTCGCTGTCAGAGGATGTGTGTGCTACTGTGTCTGAGAATAATTTCCTAATCCAAACCAAGCTGGTTCAGCTGGGCAGGTCTCAGTTCTGTCTGGCTCCAAAGAAATACTGGGTAATCTGTCCCTTGCTCATAATTTTTTGATTCAAACCCAGACTCCAGGTCCTGTTCTTCCAAATAACTTTCAAGATGACACTGCTGTATTGGTTTCCCTCACAGTCTTCCTGGTTCGCTTAGCCACAGCCTCCCAGATCCGTATCCAGCCTTCCATCCTGTGAAGAGCTACACCGTCGGGGGGTGTGTGTGTGTGTGTGTGTGTGTGTGTGTGTGTGTGTCCGACTGCTTGGCCCGGGCCGGGCTCTCTTTCCTGGGAGGTTCGCAGGGTTTCAGTCTAGGCTGGAATCACTCAAACTGGGTTTCCGAAACCTCTGTGGGCTGGATTCCTCCAGTGTGGCAAGCAGAGAGTGCATTCGAGGAAAATGACTTCATTGGGAACGGGCTAATTACACGGACGATGGGGTTATTTATCTACGTTAAAAACAAAAAAGGAAAAACTAAAAAAGTCCAGTGTGTATCTCATTTTACACTCCCCTTCCCCTCCCCAGGCCGGATCAGACTACCCGCGTCTTTCAGATGCTGCTGCTGCTGCTCTTGGATTACGGTACAGCGTGCGCAGCCAGGGCTCCCATTCATCCGCTGCCTTCCGCCGGAACAAAGTGGCTCCCCATTGCGCCAGGGGTCTCGGAGCGAGGCCCGCGAGAGTGCAAATACCTTCACTCACACTTAACAGCACCACTGGAAAAATAACTACCAAGCCGGGTCCCTGAGAGCCCCTAAATGAGCCTTCGGATTTGGAACTGGTGTTGTTCGGCGGGTTGCACACGCCAGGGACTAATTTGTACAGGCGCTAATTGGTCCTCCATTTGTTCTGAAACCAAACCGAGAGGGTTCATCTCCTGGTATTGGTGCAAATGAAACCCAACCAAACCATCTCCTCCATAGAATCCCCAGGGGGCATGGCTCCTGCAAGGTCGTCCTGGCCTCCTCTTGGGGTCCAGGGCTTAAGGAGAAGCGGACGTGGTCCCTTGTTACTTGTAAATGTGACAGGCCCCGCTGCACGCCAACGCTGGACTAGCAGTGGCCCAAGACCCGCCAGCTCAGCCGCCGCCTGCTGTTGGGTTCGACTTTTGTCTCTCTTCGCCCTTGTCGTGCAGGGCCAGAACGCCCTTGAGTCAGGGAGCCTTTTCCCCAGATGCTGGAAGGGAGGCGGCAAGGGAGCGTGGGTTCCAACAGACAGGCCTGCCCTGGCCGCCTCTGGGATGGTGAAGGCAGCCCGAGGGTCGGGCGTCGGGTGGCCCCTGCTGTGGGGCAGCTCCAGCTCCTTTCTGTGTCAAGGTAGATTCCTCCACTAGCTTCCCGGGGAAGAAACCCAGCCTTTCCTATTGCCCTGCGGGGCCCTCTCTAGCCTTGTCTCCCAATCCGCCTCCCTCTGCAGACTCTAGCGCCCCGGAGCTGTCGGGCCAAGGGTCAAAGGTCAGGCCTTCTCTAGGCCCAGACTTCTTTTTCGCTTGGGCTAGTGTGAGTGCACCAGTCGCCCAGGCCTGTCATTCCCGCTGGACGCCCATTTCCAGAGAGAACAGGCGCATATCTCAGAGCTTAACCTTCACTTCCCAACTTAGCTCTCTGATTATGTGGGGTCTTGATGGGGGTGGAGCAGTTTAATTTAGGAAATTATATCCAGACCGTAAAGTCACTTATCTGGACATTTTAGGAGGTTTTTTTTTTTTTTTTTTTAGATTTTAATGATTTCTGTAAGCTTAAGCAAGTCGAGGTGGCTTTGACCACAGGACTGAGGAGGAGTCTCCCATTGCTTAATTTCATTGCCCCAACCTGGCCAGAGCTGGAAAGAAGTTGCCAGAAGGGATACAGGAAAAGCAAACGAATGCCCAGTCCTTCAAATAGACAGTTCTGTTCCAAAGGGGCTGACCTATTGCCTGAGTAGGGGCAAGGCTGGGAGAGTAAAAAGCAGATTTCTATGCATGTTCATGTGGCCCAATGTAATGAACACATCTCTATCAATTTCTGGAGGCAGAAGGCTCAATTTATTTTGGTTTTAGTCGTGGAAAGTCCTCAGCCTTAGCTCTGACTGATGACAGAGCAGCCGAGTAGTTAGAATTCTTTCTCCAACGAAAGCGATGGTCAATAGAATTCTCAGTATCAAATGAGCAATAATTTGCTGTGGCTACATGCTGGATAATGAAAGATGTTAGCGGGATCAATAAAAAATGAAAACACTTTTACTTACATCTTGAGTTACTGTTTTAAGAGAGCGAGAGATGTAACAAACCCAAAGCCAGGTTCAGAGCCACCCAATACCCCTCAAAACCCCAAGGTAGAGAGTTTTGTCACCACTTGACTGACCCTTCCAGAATGCCAGGCCTCCACCTTCTGCCTCAGGAGAGTAGATGATTTACGTCAAATTAACCCTGTAGAGACCAGTAATAATTTAACTGCCAGGGTTTAAAATTTTTCTTTTGTTTCCTAAAGCCGGGAATACATTTTAAATTGTTTTCCACCAGGATTAAAGGTCACGTAACTGGTTGCAGTTTACCAAAAAAGTATGCAAGTGTCCCAAAGCTGATTTGTCCTTTGAAATGCCTCAAAATGTGCATCTGACCCAGATGCCTAAGAGGGCAAAAGAATAGAGTTAATTCCTTTGAATTTGTTCTGTGTTGTCATTAAATCTGTAAAGATCAGACCCTAAACTCGATTTTTCCAGACAAGTTAATTCCCCCATCTTCTTTCATAATCATTTCATGTTTAATTTGTTTTCAATTTGGATTGGGTTTATTTGCACTTTCCAGTTTGCTTTTCTCACCACTCAATCCCAAACGTTTTCTTACATATCTGGTTGTTAAGGAACATACTGTGAAACAGAGACACATTCTACATTTTTAAAAGATACCAAGACGTAAAAGATGAGAAAAACATTCCGGGTGCTCTGCATAAACCACACGCAACGGAAAAGCTCACCGCCAGACAGCTTCCAGCAATCGAACCGATACAAATAAAGCACATTTGAAAATGTGTTTGGCTGTTTTTGTAGGTTTAAGAAGACTACATTTTTCTGACCACTTCAAAAAAACAAACACGAATTCAGCCGCTGCTTTAATGCCCTCTGACCAGAGGAGCTGATTTTGCCACCGAGTTATCGGTCAGTGCTGCAAAGTCAGTGGCCTGTGTTTATAGCAGGTTTAGCTTGGATTTGGCGAGACAGCCAGCAAACCTGGGAGATTATGAAACCATGAACCAGCCCAGGAAAGTGTAGTTAAGTTTCAGTTTGGGGATTTCTCCGGGTGAGGGAATCCGGCGAGCTCCATTTCTACAAGGCTAACAAACGCAGGTGCAGTTTGGCGGCCGCACGCTGCCTGGCAGGAGAAACGCACAAACCGCAGACGCGTGCTCGCGTAGTGGCCACTAGCTCGGGGCACGCCCGTGTTATTTACACCCTGCTCGGGGGGCCCCCCTCTCATTTGTTACTTTAAACTCGCGGGGAGGAACTGTTAGCTGCCGTGGCGGGACTGGCAGGCTGGGAGGAGGCGCCCCCGTTCGGCTCCCGGGGCCGTGACGCGGCCACTGCCCTCCGCCCCTGGCTTCCACCCTGTCTGCATGGCCACAAGCGCGGCGGTGGACCAGCGTGGCCAGGCCCCCGGAGCCCTTGCTCCGGTCTACCGCCCCCTACTTCTCCCCCCCACCCCAACGCCCCCGCTCCTCCATACGCCTGTGAGACTGGCTTACCCTGGTGGGCGAGTCGCGGCGCATTAGCGGATTTCATGGCAAGTTGCTTCTGTGACATGAGATCAGGTTCGCGTTCGAGGATTTGCCCCCTAGGAGGGAAGGAAAGGAGAGTCAATCTGCATAATTTCAAATGAGAAATAAATAGAGAAACAGGGAACTGAATTTCAAGCCCCCTAATTCCTCCCTCCCCCCGAACCTATAAGTCACCCCGCACCCCCACAACACGCCCCGTGCACAGGAAAAAAAAGTAATCCGCACACTTCGCAGGTGATACCTTTTATTGTGCTCATTTTAAAGACAGAGACAGGATGGCCTCCTGCCCGAAGACTTTCTCTGCAGCCGGGGCCTGGGGCAGGAGGGTCAGACGGGCAGCATCCGGGCCCGCGGATTCCCGCAAGGTCGCGGGGTGAGAGGTGCGGGGAGGATAGACGTCAGGCTCGGCGCCCAATGGCCCCTCTAGGCGCGCAGGGTCTGGGCCAGACGCACAAGCCCAAATTCCCTCCAGCTCCTTCGGCTCCATCTTTAAGTCCAGGCAAAGATCAATTCCCTCTCTCTCTTGCACACACACATTTGCAGCCATAAATAAACAGCTCCCAGCTAAATCAGGAACCGGAGAGGAGAAAGGGAAAAAGAAAGGAGAAAAGAGAAGGATTGAGAACCCGAGCGCGAGTCTCGCCTCTCCCGGGCGCCGAGTGGCTCTTTTTGGTCAGGCCAGCCTCGCATTTGGGGATGCAACTTGCATTTGAATAGCTGCCTGGGCTTGTTATGGACCCGGGAAAGCTCTGAAAGGGAATCACTATGCAAATTGTCCCAGTTACAATCGAAAGGTTCGATCTCCAGGAGCTGCCTGACGGAAGTTGATGTCAGCTATCTATGCATTAGGGTTGCATTACCGCCTTCGTCTGCCTCCTCGCCACCCCCGCTCGCGCCTGCAGGGGCGGCTTATTTTTTTTTTTTTTGCTTATGTGTACATTTTCCCTCAGTAATTAAAAAAAAAAAAAAGAAAAAAGAAAAAAAAAGAAAATAAAAGACTGAAGGTGGTGGCGTAGTTCGCTAGGGCCTGGGAGGCCCACGGGCGGAGAGGGGAGGAGGTGTGGACGGGAGGGTGTGTGTGTGTGTGTTGGGGGTGGGGGGGGTCGTTCTTTTGCAGCAGGTGTTGATGGTGCGTTTGAAATCAAACATTTAGATTTTTTTTTTTTTCACTTTGCCGGACGAGGCGAAGGCGTCGGCGGCTGGGGGTTGGGGCGGCGATGTCTGCCTCCGCCCGCCTGCTTGATCCTACAATGCCGGCTGCGGATCAATACCCGCTCACTGTAATCCCAGTAATTGTAGGGCTCGCAGCTTTTATTTTAAAGAAATAGGACACTAGGGCGCCGGCAGGCGGCTGAGGCAGAACGGTTGGGCTGCGGTGCCTCCGGGGGCCTTTTGGGGCGCCCATCTTTTACCCCAGAGCTCAGAAAGCTCCGGGCAGCCGGGTGGTGGCGGGGTGGCCAGTAGCCAGGGCCCACCTGGCGGCCCGCCGGGACGTGGAGGCCCACGTGGGTTCCGGCCGGGCATGGCACTGGCGAGAAGGCGCTGCTGGGCACGTAGGGTAGGCAGCACGCGGAATCTGGGCTTTTCCCGACCTGCGCGCGGGTCCTGGCTGGAGGCCCAGGTCCAGGATGGGCGTCTTGGGCTTGGGCGCCGACTGTGAGCGGTCTTGGCCCCAGACCACGACGCGTGGGGACCCGGGATGCTGGAACTCATGCTTTCGGCCTAGAAAGACAGAGGTTTTGTCCCTTTTCTGCCGCCTTCCAGGGCCGGAGGCCGGGCCTGGCTCCTGGGTGGCCTAGCTCTGGCCTAGTCTGCGTCTGGCCCTCGGTCTGGGAATTGGCAGGGACGCTAGGACCCAGTGATCGCCCGCGCGGCCTCTTAGGCCGGGGTTTCCTCCAGGTGCTCTTGCCGGGCGTTAGCCCGACGTCCGCAGACCCCGTCGCGCCCGCGGGCCGGGCCAGCTCCGCATGGCGCCTGCTACCTCTGCCGCCCGCCCCTTGCTGGCAGAGCCCGGGCAGGACTGCCGGGGCCTGGGGCCGCAGCCCCCGTGCCGCTGGCCGCCCGCAGCTTCTGGCGCCCCCGAAAATGACCATCTGTCATTCAATTAAGGTTTCAGGGCAGCTGATGGGGGAGCCAGGGTCAGCGACCCCAGGACAAAACGGCCTGCTGCCTCGGATAGGAGAAGTTCAAATGTTAAATGCAGAACATTGTGCCCTCTCCCAGTCCGGGGCCCCACCCGGCCGCAGGTCCGGCCGGTGGACAGCAGCGGGGTGAAGGGCAGCGGTCATTAGCACTTAGATTTCAGCTCTGGGCCCAGCTCCTTCTGTTGGGCTATTTTGACCAGAGAACCTTTAACCCTTTCACGCCAGCCCTCCCTCTAGAGAAGGCCAGATTGTCCAAAGGGGGAAAGTAAGAGAGGGAACTTAGATGCACCTCTATAAAGAGGGTTCAAAAATTTTTTTTGTTCTCCTTTCTTCATAGGAATAGCAGACAAAATACCTACAAGATAGAAAAACGTTCATGATAGCCAAAACAAACGAAAAGTCCTCAGAAAGTTTTACTTTTAAATTTTTAGTTTTGGGGAAAGGAGTGCATTTATTAAATATGACCGTGAAACTGCTGGGCCAGTGTGGAGAGAGTCTGTAAAATATTCCCGACGTTTTCCCGTAACTGTGTTTACCCAAATGTGTGTGAATGGTGATGAGACTCTGCTAGCTACAGACAACTCCATTTATGTGTTCGTGATGAAGTCTCCATTGCAGCCAGTCTCATTTACAGTTGAAAATAAGTTAGACAGTTGGCTTTTCCCTTTTGAGACATTCCTATAATAAAATGAGGTAAAAGTAATTGTAACTAATGGAATTCATAAAGTACATTCATTAAGCATGTATGTAATACCCACATGCTGTGGGCATTTAGGTATTAATATGCTTGGCTTTTCCGCACTAATCTGAGGAGAAGCAGCCACACACCTAGCAGTTTTCAGTGGAAGATCCAACTAGTCCTCTTAATTATTAACCAGGAAGCCTGAAAACAGCTATATTAGGAAGATATCATTTCGAGGCTTGGAAATCTAAGTCCTTCAGCAGGCTAGTTAGCAATAGAGGAAGAACTCAGAGCTTCTAGCTTCCAGCGCCTGGTTCTAAACATTAAATCTAGTCCTTACTTTTTGGAAGTAACTATCAAGCAATCAATTAATCAATCAGGCATTCAGCATTGAAGCACCTTAGAAAAATTTTCATTGGATAACAATGAATAATGCATGGCCCTCCAGTATATTGACTGTGGTAAATGGTCTTTAAGGTGAGGTGCTGCAACAAGTACCTTTAAATAAAATCAAATAAAAAGTTTACCACAATCATAATAAATTGTTCAGTCATCTTCTTATTGACCCACGTAGTGTCTTTCTTCAGGGGCATTTGGAGTTATTTTTTTCCCCTCACAAACAGACCAGAACAAATTGATAAATTGAGCTTTCACTATGCTAATTTAGACATTATAAATATTTAATTAACATCCCTAATAGCCAGCCATAAAGCCCCCCTCCCTACTGCTTTACACTCTTCTTAATCTAAAGTAAATGCTTTTCCCATTAATAGACTGATGCCATATTAGCGCTTCCTCGGTAAAAGAGCCCCATTTAGTCCAAAAGGAGGGAGCATTGAGTAGTCTGCATTAGGCAGGGGTTTATTCCTGTTTGTAAAGGATCCTGGGAGCCGTTACACATCTCTACAAATTCTACCTTTCTTGGTTCTTGCTTAAGTGAGACCATTCTAAGAAGGGGGGAGCCTCTCAATTTCATTTTTTGAGACACTTTCAAGGTTGTAGTAGAATGGAACTATTTATTTTAGTAAACCCTAGAAGTGGGTCATAGATAATGGATAGCAAATTTCTAACTAGGGACTGTGCTAGTCTTTTCAGCAAAAGTTATGCAGTGAAAAGAATTTTGAACCGGGAGTCAAAGAACCTAAGTTCAAATCCTATAGCACCCGCTAGCAGTGGGACTCTTGGGCAAGGGATTTAACCCTTCAGAACTGCAGTTTTCTCTTTTAAAATGGAGATAATGTCTATGCCATAGAGTAAAAGATTGAATGCGAGAATGTATGTGAAATTGCTTGGCATATAGTAGACAATAAACATTAGGTTAATTCCTAAATGACTGCCCCAAATTCATGGATCCTTCTCTCCCCTTATATTTATTCTTGTCGTCCTTAAAATACCCTGTTATCATAATCTAACATTGCAATAACACTTTATATTTGCAAGCATTGTTTGTCTTATTAATCCTTTGATTTAGTTTCTATAATGTAAAATAGGGAGAAACTTGAAGACCTAAACTCTGAGCAAGAGACAGTTTAAAAACAGATACTGGAACTTAGATGATCAAAAGCTCTGAGTCATAAACTCTGATGACTGAAATGTCCTTCCACAACAGTCCTTGTGTGGTTTAGAAAGATTCCAGAAGCTACATTATATTTCCCTGGGGGCAGGAATCAGGTCAGAACTGAGAGTTCAAGAAATTAGAAGCTCTCCAGGCTGATCTAACTCTGGAACTAGAATCTGCAGATGCTGAACATTCAATAGCTGAAAAAAGGAAAAGAAGCTTCAGACAATTTAAATGTAAAACACTGGAATGATAAGCCATTTTATTCTGAGAATATTTCTCCATCTGAGAAAAACAGACTTAACTTGCGGGATGTTGCTGGTTACAGAGAGAGTAGAAACTCTGAGTTATACTTTGTGTTTGCCAGCACAAAATAAATACCACTTAATGTAATATACTCATTACTACTGAGAAGAGATATATTTATCTGGATAGACTAAATATCCTAGTAAAATCACATAGTTTTGATTTTTGGTGGAAATCAAATTTTCCTTTTCCTTTTTGGTTAGCAGTGGAAAGGCCCAGATAGAAAAAATAACGGGAAAAGGGCAAGAAATTGGCTGGAACTACTTCCTAAGTAACAGGGAGTGGCAGGAGGTGGGAGCCCACAGACAGCAGAGACTGTCCTTGGATAGCTCCCCCTCTCTTTCATGCTCTGCTCTTCCACTCTTCTGCTCTTTCTTACTCTCTCATTTTTTCTTTCTTTTTTTTTTTTTTGAGACGGAGTCTCGGTCTGTCGCCCAGGCTGGAGTGCAGTGGCCGGATCTCAGCTCACTGCAAGCTCCGCCTCCCGGGTTTACGCCATTCTCCTGCCTCAGCCTCCCGAGTAACTGGGACTACAGGCGCCCGCCACCTCGCCTGGCTAGTTTTTTTTTGTATTTTTTAGTAGAGACGGGGTTTCACCGTGTTAGCCAGGATGGTCTCGATCTCCTGACCTTGTGATCCGCCCGTCTTGGCCTCCCAAAGTGCTGGGATTACAGGCTTGAGCCACCGTGCCCAGCCAGAATCTGTAATTTCTAAGTAATGAGCAAATGAACTGCCAAGTCAACATCCATATTCCTGTTCTTCCATATTAACAAAACTCCTGTATTGTTGGATGTAGCCATGTGCCCAGATATGCAACTGTTATCTCCTAGTCTGTCTTGCAGAAAGATGTTGTGGCCCATGAGAGGTAAGCAGGTGTATTGTGAGAATTCCAGAAAAGTACTTTAAAGGAGTACGAATCAGCTAGAATGTGTGAGTTGGTCCTTGCCCCTTTCTTCATCCTGATATCTGGATCATGGGTTTGATGACTGGAGCCTCAGTGACCATCTTACAAGTAA